AGCCTATTGCTTACGCTGCCTATCCACTCACTCACACAATCACTCATCAGGAACTCAGAAGATCAACATTTCCACCCTCTTCCCTGGAGTGTGGCCTTAGCTAACAAGAGATGTTCAAGCTCTTCTTCTGCTTAAACTGAGAATGATTGATGGACTAACTAACAGGGATTCCCCAGGCCTCTTATCAGAACCAGGCAAGCAGACAGGCAGATTGTGTCCTCTTCCCTTTGGCATCCAATGTGGACCACTTGAGTGGGAGCAGGGAATCCTCCACCAGACCTAAACAGGGACCAAGAAATCTTGAGGGAGCACCTTCCCATCAGGACCTGGAGAGGTCCTACACCACCCACAACCAGTGACCAAGGATGTCACACAGTGGATCTTCTCTGTCACTGTGCCAGATGCTAGGATAGCAGAGTCATCAAAATAACACCTAGGGTTTGGGAGAAGATTTATTTAGGTCAAAGGGCACTGATTGGGATCATTCCCAGAATATAGGTTCCCTGATCTCTGATGGTCTAGTGCTGATATTGGATATGCAAGCAGGAAATAGAGAGGCAGAATGACTCGTGAATTAGGTATTTGTTTAAACAATGGGAATTATAGTGACCAGCTATGCATCAGGGACCAGCCATTTCTAAGGGATCAGAAACAACTGGAATTGGAGCAAGAACTATAATGTAGGCAACTAAGAAAGTGAAATATACTGGCTAGGGGATCATTTTCTGTTATATATTACCATGAGAGATACTATTCAAGTATAAAAGTAGCAAATTGCTGATAAACGTATTAACATAAACCTCAGAAACTTGCTGAGCAAAAGAAATCTGACATAATATATTCAAATACCCCCCCCAAAAAAAAAATCTAATCAATAGTGACAAAAAGGACAACATCCACTGCCTGAGTCTGAGAGCATTTGGGGATTGACAGGGAGGACATGAGATTTGGAGGAGCTTGTAACAATGTTTCATATCTTAATTATGCTGGTTGTCCGTCTGAATGTGTATGTTTGTCAACATTCATGCTATGGTTTGAATTGTGTCCCCCTACAACACATATGTGTAAGTTCAATTTCATGACACTAGGACTGGATCTCAGATGGAAACTGGGTCATTGCACATATACCTAGTATAGATGAGGTCATATTGGAGTTAGATGAGTCCTTTATTCCAATGATTGGCGTCTTCATTAAAAAGGGGAAATCTAAAAAAGATATAAACAAGGAAAATGTCTTGTGAAAACTGATTTCATGGCACAAGCCAAAGAATGTACAAAATTATCAGCAGAGCAACAGAAGTTAGGGAAGAGGCAAGGAGCAGATCTTTCCCACAGCCACACCAACACCTTGCTCTCAGACTTCCTGGCCTTGAAAACTGTCAAGACAATAAATTTCTGTTTTGTAAAACATTCAGTACCACAATTCATGAATAGGAATAATAAAAAGTACATATTTAAATGCAATTTGGACCTCACTAAATTCATTCAGAATAATTGAATATAATTCATAAAGATCTAATGTAAATACTATGTGATCTCTGAGAAAATTTGGATTTTCTCCAAGAATTTATGAATTTTTTCTCTTTTTTCTCTCTCTCTCTACTATTTAATTTTATTAGTATTCAGCAAGTTCTAGGCAATATTAGATATAATTTTTCACTTAATTTAATTTTCATAGCAATTCTGTGAGAACATTATTGTCATTCTAGTATAACATATATGTAAATGATGTCTAAGAAAACATTATTCAGTATTATTATCCAACTAGAAAGAGACAAAAATGATATGGAAATATAAATCTTAGTAGAAATCTAGCTTATATCATGACTCACACTAATTTTGATTTATTATCAATAGTATTTAATGTTGTCATGTATTTGGTTATATTTTATATTTCTATCTTAAACCAAAAAAAAATTCTGCAGTTCTTCCACATCTATAAAAATTCTCACTCTTACATCCAGTTTTCCAGTTTGACTTAATTTTCAGTTAGTAGAGTCAGAATGGAGTTGTAATTTCTCCCTTTTTAATTCTCTGATTTGTTTTTCCCATAACCGTCTGTTCCTAGTTTGCCATTTTCTTCCTTTCAAAAATGTTAATGAAAATATTTTCAGATTTGATCTACACTGAAGCACCTGGGTCTTCTGGTATCAGTGCTGTTTGTCTATTTGTACTTCAGTTTGATAACTCTTTTTGGCTTCATATATATGCTTGCAAAACTGGATTGACAAATGTGGGAGTCTTGTATGATGGACGAACCTATTATTGGAATAAAGAAGGCCTAACCTGTGTAAGCTTTTTGTGTGGGGCTTAAAGATTAGTTGGATCCTTTGGAGGCTGAGTGAGCTACAGACTATAGAGACTAAAGCCTGGAGTCATCAAGGTCACATGACTGGAAGAAAGCAGCTTTTTCAGTCTCTTCAGTCTGTGTCTATACCGTAAACAAAAGCCCTCTTTTTTTTAAATTTTTTTTTATTTATTTG